TAGTGATTGATTTTTTGTATAATATAAAGTCATTAATTATTAAAATAAAATATAAAAAACTCAGTTTATAGTGACATAAAAATATGAAATATATTGGATCATACTTAAAAATTTATAAAAATTGATCAATATTTATTTTTAACACAATAAATATGATCATGGAAAAAAAATATACGTATCGGTAAGTTTTTTTCAAATTGTGCAAAAAATAAAAAAATTCACGATTCCGGTTACCGCAACCGTTACACTACGGCCTTTACACCCCGCAACCGCAACCGCGTCACCGCAACCGTTACGGTGACCGCAACCGCTTTTCAGAACCTTGGGTGTGAGGCAAATTGCATCTTGAAAAGTTATATACCTATGTGCTGAATTGCTGATCAAAAAAAAAAACCTATGTGCTGAATTCCATGTCTCAAAAAGATTGACATTCTCAATTTTAGAAATTAAATATATTTGCTGAATCATTAGTGCTTGATGATTTTTGCTTTTGCAACTATTATAGATAATGCTTGATGTTTTCAGATTGGTGTAATCCATAGACATATATGCTTGATTGGAGGGTTAGCTGATTGCCCAAAGAGGTGGTTTTGTTGATTAAGGTTTAGTTTCTTTTTTTTTTTTTCTTTTTTTTTTGGTTTTTACTTTATATTTTTCTCTTCCTTAGTAATTAGCAAGAGAGAAGTGTAATATGAAGAGTCTGAGACTTAAGCTTAGTAAAGTGAAATGAGTATTGTAACTAACTAATACTACTGAGACTTGAGTGTAATATGTTCATGAGTTTGCTAATCATACATTTTATTTAACTAATTGATACATTTTGGGCTTTGATACACTTTAATTTTGCAGAATAGGAGTGAGTAGCAATGCATGATTTTCCTTTCCATGCCTTTTCTTTTTAAACATTACCTATCAATAGTTGACATGAGAGATGGTTTGTTAATATTGCAATCACTGAAATTATATTCTTTTTAAATTTTAGCCGAAGTTCAAATGAGACCAACTCTCCTCAATTAGAACAAGAAAGATTGATAGCTTGGGTGAGTATAACAGTGATGGTATAAGAAATGAACAATTTTTCTCCGAAATTATTTTGTGAATAAATTTTTCACGTACTACATAAAAGATAGGACAGAAGAAGATTAATCCAACATTATTTTCCCCGTGCCTTTAGGCACGGGCATACACTAGTATATATAATATATCAATTATAAACAAAGTTTATATACATAAACTTAAAATATTTTTAAGGCGGGAGAGATTGATGCAGATGTGGCCCATAGGATTAAGGCGGGATGGTGTAAGTGGAGAAGTGCGTCTGGGGTATTGTGCGATAAACGAATACCTACTAGACTCAAAGGTAAGTTTTATAGAACAGCTATTAGACCAGCTATGTTGTATGGGACGGAGTGTTGGGCAACTAAGAAACAACATGTAGATAAGATGAGTGTGGCTGAGATGAGGATGCTAAGGTGGATGTGTGGTAAGACTAGACAGGACAGGATTAGGAATGAGTGTATCCGGGAATGGGTAGGAGTAGCACCGATAGAAGATAAGTTGAGAGAGAATCGTTTGAGATGGTTTGGTCATATTCAACGGAGACCAACAGAGGCAATAGTGAAGAGATGCGATGCTGTAACGGTAGATGGAAGTGTTAGGGGACGAGGTAGGCCTAGATTAACGTTGACTAGCGTTATAAATAGAGATATGAATATACTTAATTTGACCAATGAAATGGCCTTTGATAGGGCCGCGTGGAGAAGAAGGATTCATGTAGCCGACCCCATTTGATGGGACTTAAGGCTTCGTTTGGTTTGGTTTGGTTTGGTTTGCATGATATGAGACCTACAAATATGATAATGCCAATAAAAAATAAAATATTAAGAATTTCTAGTATTACTCATATAAATAATGTATATACATTATATTTTTTAATTTTATATTGTATTTTTTTATATTTATATACAAAATAAATAAATAAAAATACTATATTTATATATAATTTATTGGATAAATTACAAATACACCCCCTGAGGTTTGCTTAAAATACAGATTGTCCCCTGTGGTTTGAAAAATTACAAATACCCACTTATTAGAATTTTTTATTTAACAAAATTAACTAAAAAAATAAAATTCATAATTGCTCTCCTATACAATAATAAAATTACCTGAATTAGTAATTGAAACATATTTTTAATATCATTAAAAACTGTTAATTGACTTGATGATTTATTAATAAAATGAGCAATTTATTATGAAATTAGAAACCTCAGGGGTTGGAATGTAATTTTCAAAACCACAGGGGGCGATTTGTATTTTAATCAAACCTCAAGAGGTGTATTTGTAATGTACCCTAATTTATTTATATTTGTGTCTTATACAATAGAATTTAATGGTAATAAAGAAAAATTATTATATTTATATAACAAACTAAATACAAAAATATTTTTTTACTTGGGGTTGATTTGGGAACATAAAAAATTAGTAAAAACATCAAAAAGCTATCAATAAAGTCAAAAAATTTAAAAAGCTATTAATATTTCATATGTCGTGTCCCTATATCCATACCTATTTTTTGGACACTTTTTAGGCGAGTCCTCATATCCTCTCTTTTTAGGAATAGGCGAATCTGACACTTAGACACGTACCCGTACCCGTAACCGACACCCGCACCCGAGTGCGTGTGACATATGCAAGGATCCACAAAACTTAACAACCATAAGCACAATGCAGCTACACCACATTAGTGAACAATGTATTGGAGGTTCTCACGATGGAAGGTATATAGATTTTTCTAGTAAGTTAGTAACCTATAATTTGATCAAGAAAGATTTTTTCATAGCCATAACTTGCCATTTGACTCTTAACTGAAATTATTTGGGTTGGGTTGGGTCTAACAAGGGTCCACGTCAATCAGAAATTAGGATGGGTATATCAAGATTAGGAGGACTGAAGGAAACCATTGAAAGTAAAATGACCAATATTTTTTTTTTTTTGGTTAAGTAATATTAAGTATCAATACACAAAAAGGCATCAAGTAGGGACCACGAGCGCCTATATACAAAAATAAGTGAGAAACAAAGTCAACCACATATACATTCACATCTACCGAAAAGACTCTAAAACCCAAAAATTGGTTCAATGATTGATTTACGCCCCCCAAAAACCAACTGTACAAGATAGACAAAAAGGAACTCCAAATCCGGTAAATAGGTTCCTCCACCCCTTCAAAGATGATGATGTTGTTCCCCACCCTCCGCAAAATAAAAAAACATTTGCGAAAAACATTTGATGATGTTTTCTTTGTATAGTTGTTCCGCAAAATCAATAAGAAAAACATATCTTCTGATAAAAAAAAATAATTATACATACAACTGTACAAAGAAAACAAGACCTTTCAAGTCAATACAGGAAAACAATCACTGCCGCACAACACTACTCAAAATAAAAAATAAACCGATAGAAGAAGATCAAAATATTATCTTTTTTTAAATGATATCAAATTTATTATTGTGAAATCATTTCCTTTAATAAATGAAAATTTATTAAAGGAAGCACCAAAGGGTTGCAACCTATGTACAAAAAGAAATTCTTCATTGCCTGCCACAAGATTACTTGTGGAACCCAAAAATAAAATAAAAAAGCTGATAGAATATCAGAATCATTATTATGAATATGGTTTTAAATGTCGTCCAATAAGTATTGGGTTTTTTCCTACCGATACTAATACACCTTAGTATCCAGAGGAAATAAAAATCACTAGTGCATCAGTCGATTCCCAATATGTATTGGTTCATAACCTATTCACAAGCCGATTCACAATCAATATGGCCAATTCGATAGCTATAATACTATATTTTGTTACTCATGATTTTAAATAATTCATAATTGCATAGCTCGATATTGATTCCTCTCCCAATACTACTATTTAAAACTTTGATTATAAAATCACTATTTTTTGTAAGTGAAGATTTTATTAAAAAGAAACACCATGGGGGTGCAACCCATGTACAAAAGTAAAACTTATAACATTTATACATAAAAAACGTATTCAAAGATCTCTACAAAATCCAAAATTTAGTCTAAGAACGGTTTAACTGCACCCAAAAACCAAATATACAAGAAAGACAATAATTTACTCTTTAGCCTAAAAATAAGCTCTTCCTTCCCATCAAAAGCTCTTCTATTATGATCTCCCCACACAATCCACAACAATGCCAAATGCACCAAACATCAAGCATTCCTCCTCCCCCACGCATGCTCCTCTCCAAGAATGAAAACACTCTGTCACCTTCTGGGGCCAAACTAACTCTAAGCCAAACATGAGAAGGATCACAAATCACATATAAAACACCATTTAACACGTCGACTTGCTTCCTCCAAATCAAATTACCAATTCTAAGAATCTTGTCATAAGTTGCACACCACATGAAGAAGACGACCTTAGAAATAATTACAGTTTTACTATAAATTTTATATAGTTTGCTATTTTCATCAAAGGATGCCTATTTCAGATTTTTCTCCTACATTCATTTGTCAGACATTTTATTTTTGCACATAACCTAAATCATTTAATAAAAATAAGATATAAAAATAGTTTAGTTTTAGACGAGCACAGGATCGGAGTTTCTAATTGTTTTTCTCTCAGTACGTATGAACACCAATTTTTTTTAGTTGCAAATACATTTTCATGGTTCCAAAAAACTATTACAATTTTAATGGGTAGCCGGCAGCGTTCTCAACAATTCTCCATGTCTTTAAAAGTTTTAAAATATTTTTATGATATTTTCCTAACCACAGTGAAGAACATTGACAAATTCAACACGCATGAACCACGTGATCATTTATTTAAGTAAGAAGTTACTATATTAACTGCAACTAAATTTCTTTTTCTTAACACTGTTCCATGGCATGATAATTAAGGTGAAAAGAACTGATAAACATCCAATAAAGCAATAAAGAGATGATATCTAAACATCAAAAGCTATATTGATACTTACTTGGCATGTTGCAAGGGTATCCTTACAAGTTTGAAGGCTGCAAAAGTAAAATCACAAAAAATAATAAAAAGAAAGAAAGAAAGAAATTGTATCAAAGGCCAAATACATAATATTTGAAACAAAATAATAAGCAAAGAGATAATATATTTCAAATATAAATTAAGAAGCAATCCAAATCTAAAAATACCTCTCACGAAGGGACAAAATCATCCCAGTTGCCACCCCAGGTGCAGTTTCTTCCACTTTTACATTACCCTGAATTGTAAAGGATAGTAATCAATGTTCCCTTAGATTGAGAGACTCCAGATATTATTCCTTCACATAAAAAGTAGAAACTATAGTCTACACCCTACGTAGACAATGCATAATATATAATCAAACTACTCATAGATTCCTGCTTTCATGAAGAGCCAGAGATAGAAGTTATAACTCGAATATTAATAATAAACATTAAATCATACAAGTATAATACAAGTTGATTTAAAAACACAAATTTCTTAAGATAATTATTTTAAACAAAGGTAAAACATTACATATTCAATTCAACAAGCCTTTATTCCAATTACTAGGGGTCGGTTTCCTCCAGCTGATTCTATTCGAAGTCATTATCTACAATAATCATGCCCTATTTTACTACCTCAAACCATATTCTACTTGGTCTTCCCTCTATTTCTTTTGCCATCCCACATGGATTAAATCCTTCCTCCTTATTAGTGCATTAACGGATCTACAATGCACATGGAAATAGATCACATACATCTCAAAAGGTTTTGCCTTATGTCACTCTTAGGTATCTCTTGTCATCAAATTTTACTATTCATCCATATTTACTTAAAGTATCTCTCCACAAATTCAAATTAAAATGTAATCCCAAATTTTATAGCTAATTCAAAGGCCAATGTACCCCTTACAAAGGGAGTGCATCTAGTTTATTAAAATAATTGGACATGAATCATGTGATTAGTCAAAGATGAAAAGAGACTATTAAGTACTAACTAAATAAATTGAGATTGCATAGTTTCACTGTTTAGGACCATAATGTAATTTGAACAATGTTTGGATACAGGAATTAACCATTTGTGAATGGTTTTCATTTTAAAAAATAATAGCTGAAAGGATTAACCTAGACCATCAAAGCCAAAAAAAAAAAAAGGCACTAGTGGACAAAAACAAAATAAAAATTGATTATATACACTTATGGTTCGTGAAGTATGCATTCTGTAAACCTTCGGTACTCCAAATTTCAATTTTGCTAATTTCGACAACAAAGTTTCACTTTGAATCAAATTGGTCCAATTTCAAATGGGCACCAAAATCATTAGAATTTAGTGGTTGTTTGGGGTTACGTTTTTTGTGACTTTTGGGCCTTTTTTAGGAGCTAAAAAAGCTAATGTGTTTGGGAAGTTCCTAAAAAAGTTGATTTTTTGTGAGTGACAAAGTTGATATGACATTTGACTTTTTTAACTGATGGCAAACTAAATTTAGACGACCTGTTTGAAATTAGACCAATTTGACACAAATTGAAATCTTTAGGAATGAAATTGACAAAATTAAAACTTGGAAGACTAAAGTGACATGGAATGCACGCTTTAGGAATTATAGGTGTCCCAAAAACACGTAAAGTAACAAAAGAAGCACCAAAAAGGATAACAAGAGTCATTAGAGTGCAACAACACAAAGAACATATAGTTAGTCACTTATAGGGAACCTAAGTACTCTCTAAGCTTCTTCCCTTCCTCCCCAACGCACCCTAGCTTAATGAATTTTTGGCCTTTTTGGGGAAGTTGCCAAACAGCCCCTTAGAGGAATAATAAAACCCTTTTTTGTAATGTCAAAGACCCCATAGTCAGATAATCTGGAATCAAAACCTAGGACACTAAAATAAACCTATGGTCATAAGTATGCTTTTCATGCCAATTTTGTCCCCAAACATTATAAGACTATGCTTTGCCTTCTTCATCAACGTTTAGGAACGAAATTGACAAAATAAAATAGTTTAGGGACCAAAGGAAAATGGAACGTATACTTTAGTGTATTTTATTATTATTCCGTTAGTGATTTAAGCAAACTCCGCCTGTGTTGTACTCAGTTTTTTGTTGTTTACACAGTTGGTCACAACCCCAAATATGCAGGGTTGTGTGTTAGGGGGTCAAACAGCCAGCACATTAAAATCTCTATCAAAATCCCTTATGAACATGAATCTTAAATGATTTGGTTACTAATTTAGATGACCTGCTTGACATTAGACCAATTTGACTGAAAAACTAGGTGACATGGAATGCATGCTTTAGGAATTATAGGTGTATTTTGCCCCTAAAAACACGTAAAGAAACAATGCAAGCACCAAAAAGGATAACAAGAACCATTAGAGTGCAACAACACAAAGAACATATAGTTAGTTGCTTATGGGAAACCTAAGAACTCTCTAAGCTTCTTTCCCTTCCTCCCCAATGCCCCCTATCTCTAGAGTATTCGAGAAGTATCTAACACTTCTCGAAATTAATATTTTAACTATTGGGTGTGTGAAATTAATATTTTAAGTATTGGGCATGTTTAGAAAGTATTAGATACGTATCACCAAGTATCTAAGGAGTAATGGTATCCAATACAGATACGATATGGATACAACTCCCTTCTTGTAGCATTTGTGTTTCATAAGTTATGACGCTTTTCAACAAAACACACTTTAAAGCTTCAATGCTAATGCTTTCCTTTTCTAATGGTCTTATCTTTAAATTTTTAAGTTCAGCCATTTATAACCATAATTCCAACATAAACTAAATTGGTATAAGCTCTGTTATCAGAATCTTACGATTCGCGATTCGATTCATGATTCGATACGCAATTTTTGCAAAATCGATACGAATCTATGAGTGAATCTATTTTGGAAATGAATCTCTAGTGAATCGCACGATTCACAATCGATTCACGATTCGATTCACTTTTTACGATTCATGCAATTTTTGAAATTATTGTGTTCGACATATTTTCGACTCATTTTTTTCCATCTTTTTAGTGAAAATGACATAATACAACTTCTAATAGTATTTATTACCAAAATAACCAACATATATATATGATTTGTTATTATTTTAGTGATCATGGAGTTTTTTATAGGATCCAATCAGATTCAGTCAAACCTAACATATTTTTAACGTTTCTTCTCATTTTTGTCCCCTTCAAAAAATTGTAATATATCTTCTAAAGATGTTTAAGATTAGAGTTACACTATGAATTATCTATTACTATTTTATTAAATTGAATACTACATGTGTGAAGTCAGTTATACCTGTTAAAATGTTTTAGGCTTTAAAATAAAATATCTAAATAATTCTTTCTTATTATTTGCTCACTCTTACTTAGAAAAGTATATATACTTATTGTCCAAATATCAATATCGTTGTTAACTATTGTTACTTTAGAAATTAATAGTTTCTATTTGGTTATTACCTTTATTAAGAATGGTTGATAAAAAAATCTAAAAAAAAAAAAGAAAAAGAAAAGATAAGATGGTGATTTTACATAGGAACCTTTGTTAACTTCTTACCTATTAAATTACGTGATTATCATTCAAAATAACATTTTTGTTGATTTAAGTCTAAATATTTTATATTCATAAGATACATTTAACATCTAAATGTGTAGATATATGTTTTTAAGTGATTTAGAAAAAGTGACTGAATCTTTACGATTCACGATTCGATTCGATTCGCGATTCGGTACGAGATCATTTCGATTCACGATACGAATCCCGATTTGACAACTATGGGTATAAGCAATATTAATTAATTAACTGATAGCAATCAATACTTAAAGGGAGGTAATTCAGAACATGATAGTTTGAATTTCAAGATCGCAAATTGAGCTGTATTGAGATTCTATTAATTTCTAACTTTAGTGACAATGCTACCTAAAATGCTTTTCCCATACATTATAGTCACTTTCAATTCTGCTCACACTCTCACTCCCACTTATGTAGCGTCTTTTTGTTTTCCATTTCGCGCAAGCTACAGGACCCATGCCAACACTAGAAAGGACCACTAACCCACCCAGTAAAAGCAAATAAATAAACACTATGGTGAGAAATTTCAAACAAACAGTTTCCCTGCAATCGTCACTTCCTGAATTTAAATCATTTTTACATTTTTTCCTAAGAAATAACTTTATTACAAGGAAACTCAATAAAGCAATTGTTGACTTTACACAATACCATAGCTGTACCAGATAGCCAGAACCTGTGTAGTACCCTAAGAATTATTACTCTACGTCTTAAACTCTAGTTTAGTGATAGAGGTAGCTCAGCTTGGTTCGCTGTAGCTGTAAATGCCCGTGATGAAGCAAATAGGGTGTGATAACATTCAAATTAAGATTGAAAGAGCCCATCTTGCTCAAAATATGTGTTCTGCCAAACATCTCATTATCATTTCATTCTTCCTTCCCGGCATGAGGGAACATCATAGTACGGAAGACTAAGGGGGAAACTGCCTTCATAGTGTATATGTTGACCAATTTTGGTCCTGACGCATACTGCTGTGATTTCACATTTGAATCCATTTTAACAAATGTCATCAATGGCATTCACATATAAAAAGCCACTATAACCACTCATCAGGACTTGAACTACCAGACATTATTTCCAATCTGAGCTACATAAACAGAAAAATGTGCACCCATATAAAACATAAAATTCATAGTATCGAATTGAAAAAAATACCTTCTTGGAGCCAAAAATGTCGTCTTCGTCATCTTCAAGATCCCCAAAGCTTCTCTTATTGCCTGAAATTACATGATAACATGGAAGCATGAAGCGAACACACAATAAAATCAGATGCATTAAATATATCAATATATATACCTGAACGCCTAGAAGCATGGCTTGCCGGAAAATCGCCTCCGAAATCATCATCCTATGTGTTTTTAAAAACATACATTCAAATCAAGTAAAAATACAAAACACAATCAAAAACAAAAACATACACAGAAACCCTAACATTGTAAAGATTGGCAATATAAAAGCAGGGCACTTACATCGTCGAGATGGGGATGAGATGCCATTGAGCTGAATTAAACGCAAAACCCTAGAAATTTCTTCTACTACAGTGAGTGAATATGAACTACCAAATGAAACAGAGAGAGGAAGAGAGGTGATAGATGGTCTTGGTTCGAACAAGTTTACTGAGGGAATAGATGGAATTTAGGCTCCGTTTGTTTTGGGGGTTGAGGGACGGATGGAACTAGGATGGAGGTGGCCTATTTGGGCTAGGTTTGGCATTTTAAAAAAGATAAAAGGTTAAAAAATTATTATTATATTTAAGTTATATTAAGCCGTGGAAAAATGATTATAACTTATAAGTTAACACCTTATAACTTATAGCTATGAACATAAGCTGATTTTTTACTTATAAATTAAAGTTTCTCCTCCCCTACTCAAAGAATAAGTTGATTTTTAACTTACAAAAAGGTATAAGTTGTATTGTTAAATTGAACCAAACACATCAAAATAGCTTATAAACTAACACCTTGTAACTTATAGCTGTGAACATAAGCTGATTTTTGACTTATAAATTAAGTTTCTCCTCCCTCACTCAAAGAATGAGTTGATTTTTGACTTACAAAAAGGTATAAGCTGTATTGTTAAGTTGAACCAAACACATCAAAATAGCTTAAATTAAGCTAAAAGCTGAAATAAGCTGGAAATAAGTCCTACCAAATAGGGCTATTATTTTATTTGAGTCATATCACTTCTCTATTATATTACTTTAAACTTAATTCATATTTCATAAAAAGTTAAAAAGTACACTTATTTAAAACATCTTAAACAACCCCTTAATATTGTGTTTATTTGTAGAGTTGGAGAATGAATTAGGATGGAGAAGGGGATTAAGATGGAGGTTGGAAGGGGATTGAGATGGAGGAGGCGAAGATGGAGGTGAAGGTAGAGGTGGTATTAAAAAAATAGTAAGGGGATTATAAATTTTTTTATATTTTTATTTTTTACATGTTAGGTTTTTTTTTTTTTTTTTGAACATTAATATTTAATCTTTTGTATTTTTTATTTATTTTATTATTTTATATAAAAATAAAGAAAATATTTGGGACCCCCTTTGAGGATGACCCCCACACCCCCAAAGTCATCCTAGCCCTCCATGTATGTGTTGGGTCTACTTATGTATGTTTGAGATCTACATCATGAGTGATCCAGATTTGTGGGGTCATGTGGGGATCTTGTAGAGGTGGGGTCTCAATCACCACTCTAAAAATAATTTAATAATTCCTACACTAATAAGTATCATCAAAACAAATATAATTTTACTTAATCCCCTCCCTATGAATTCCCTCCATTTTACCTCTGAAAACAAACGGAATCTTACTTGCAATTGGTTTTATGGGAAAGTATTCAGTGTATATGCACACAAAAAATCATACATACTAAGCACATACCATATAAACTCTACCACAATTTAATATAATTTTATTAGGGTGCTGGTAATTCTGTTTTGGACACTTTGATTTGTAATTTGGATCAGTCCATATATATGTAGTTTAAAGAAAATTGAACCCGCAACCCTTCGTAATGCGGGTTGTAATTTATGCGGATAGGATTTGCGAATGTGCGAGCGATTTGTAGATTGTAATTTTTCTTAAAAAATTTAATTTTTTTTCCCGTTTCGTAAATATTTATTTTGGGCCATTTTCCCTTCATTTTCTAAAATGCTCAACAAAATCAATAATTAATGAATTAAAACTTATAAAATTAAAAACACAACAAAATCAATTCCGAACACAAGGAAATCATTCAAAATCTTAAACTTTTAAATAAAATCATAAACTAAGCTACTGCATGGAGTTGTATTTTGGTCAGCCAACCACTATATTATGTATGTATGTAGGTGATCAAGTGTGTGACCAGGCCTAAGCTACTGCGTGGAGTTGTATTTTGGCCAGCCAACCACTGTGCCTCTCGAGGAGGTTCCCGAATTAAGAAATGATCAAGTTTGGTGAACTATGTTTAAGACTTTTGTTTTCTTTTGTTTTATCTGAACAAGTTTTTGTACTGTCTATGTATTGGGCTAAGACCCATTTTGGTTTATCTGTATATAAGTTGACGTCATATATGTAAATATAAGTTTGAAATTTTTTGTCCCATGTACGTTTACACAGCTTTATGGACATTGTTTTTAAATAATTTCTTTTGCTATCCCTTTAATTTTTCTTATCTGTTCAGAGGCCTTCAGTAATCCTACGATTACTAGCCGATTATGATGCTAAACCTATAAGGACGGGTCTGGGTCGTGACATCTACTTATTTTGGGTCATCCCCTCACCTTAGTCCTTTGAGATAGATTGAGGATCTCGTTGAGAGCATTCTTTTGAGCCAAGAAATTTGCGGTTTCGTTACTGTTGAGTTTTCCAAGTTCTCCTCTTCACTTCAATAGGTAGGGATTTCTTTGTTTCTTTTCAATTTATCTCTATAGAAAGATAGGTGGCATTATCTATTGCCTAAAAATGTGATTTTGAAAGGATTTTTGAAATGCATCTAAGAGAGGTAGGTTAGGTTTTTGAACTTGAGAAGTTAGATATTTAATTTATTAGGTATTGTGGATGGTTTTTAGTTGTTGGATCATGTTTATGAAGTTTGATGTAAAAGCCTTAATTTTTATTTGTTGAAACTCTTGAGAGATGGGACGAGTTGATAAATTTCGTGACTCTAAAATTAACTTAAAATGTTGTAAATAGGAAACACATCTAAGAAGGTAAAGAATAGATTTTTATGTAATGAGTTTATGCTATAATGGTCGGTGATTTAAATTAATGAAACATGTGGTGGGAGATGTTCATGGTGATTAAACATAAAAGCACTAATTTTTAATTGATTTGATGATGTTCTAAGAAATTATGAACTATATTGATGATTGTGAATTAAAATGTGAAATAGAAGAGATGGATACAATGAAGAATTGAAGTGAATGTAAGTTATGTGGGGAATTGGTTAATTTTGGAACTTAACTAAATGAGTTATATTGGTTAGTGTGATGGTTATGTTATTTAACACTTCGAGGATGATATTGTTTGTTGTGGAATGACTTGAGCATATTATGATGTGTTGTTGATTACTTGCTACTTTAAATGAAGTGGGAACATGATGAATAATGAAAATGTTATATGGAAGTTTCGCTTTCTTTCTGGCTAGCACTTGGTAAAGTGTGGCGCTTTGATACAGGTACCGATTTTCTTCTGGTTCGCACCTAATAAAAAATCGTATGATATTGAATGATATGAAGGGTCTGTTTCCTTCCGACTTGTGATTGGTAAACCGTGGCACATTAACATAGGTTCTACTTTCCTTTTGGTTTGCACCCAGTAGAGTGTGTGGACTATTGGACTATATGGAGGTTCAGCTTTCCTTTTGGCTAGCCACTAATAAAGTATGGCACTTTGAGATAGGTTCTAGTTTCGTTTCGGTTAGCGCTTGGTAAATTGTATTGGAATGGCTTGACAAAGTCGGGTTATGAAAAGTGATTATGATCGTTGTTTACTTACATGATTGCGTAGAAATATATGTATTTGTAGAATTGTGATAGATGATCAAGGTGTGTAGTTGAGATTGTGTTGTAAAGAAATAGAGTTATAACCTATTGTCCTAAGTGATGAATGCTAGGTATGGTAATGGTTATAAATGTTTAACGTTGTTTGTTATTTGTGAGATGGTGAGATTATTCGTGTAAGTAAGGCTTTCAAATTGTAACCAGAGTCGGGAAAAAATTTGAGATCATAAATGTTAAATTGAAAGGATTTTTCTTGAATTGTTAAAAATGACCTCTTTTTAGCCGACCTCATTTGATGGGACTTAAGGCTTGGTTTGGTTTGGTTTGATTTGGTTTGTTAAAAATGACTTCTTTTGAAAAGTATACATATGTGTATAAATACTTTATTCACCTAAAAAACAAAGTGTATAAATACTTTGGATATAAAAAGACACCATTATCTATATATGTATAATGTGAGCATTCATGATCACATATATCTACAAGTTATTATTGATTATAATTATTGTAAATCCTTACTGAATATTTGTGTTCATCCTTGTTGTTAAACAATTTTTTAGGTATAGAGTCGGATGCGTCATCCAAGAATCGAGGAGTCATTTTGTTGTGGTTTACATGTGGATAAATATTGGCAAAATGCTCATGTATTGTAATAAGGATGTATTCCTATCCGTTGTAATTATTTTATTCTATAGCCCCTGATGTGAGCCTAATGGCACTTATGGTAATTATTTGTATTGGACATTTTATCATGTCATTTACGAGAGAGAATATCATTCATTAATTATTTTATAATGGCTTCGCATTCTATTATGTCATAAATGTATTTTAATGAGGAAAGTGATAACTATATCCAAGTAATAAAAGTTGGGGTGTTACAAGTAATGCACCAAGTGTATTCATGAGCTTAATGAACAAAATTTTTACACTTTACTTGGACCAATTTGTAGTAGTATTCATCAACAACATTTTGGTGTACTCATGATTAGAGGAAGATCATGGGCTGCATTTGAGAATTGTTTTGCAAGTTCTAAGGGAGAATTAGTTGTATGCCAAAGCTAGCAAATGTGAATATTGATTGGAGGAAATAAAGTTCTTAGATCATGTTGTGTCTAAATCTGGGATATTAGTAGACCCAACTAAAGTTGAAGCAATAATGGAGTGGAAACAACCTAAGACTACATTTGAAATTCGTAGTTTCTTGGGATTTGCGGGTAATTACAGAAGGTTCATATAAGACTTCTCCAAATTAGCCAAGCCAATGACAAGTTTAACACAGAAATGAGTAAAGTTTGAATAGAATGAAGATTGTGAGCGATCATTTCAAGAACTCAAGAAAAAATTGCTCATCTACTAATTATACCTGAACGTGACATTAGGTACGCAGTTTATTGTGATGCTTCTAAGGAGGGTTTAGGAAGCGTATTAATGGAAAATGAAAAAGTAGTGGTTTATGGGTCGAGACAGTTGAAAAACAATGAAAAGAATTACTCCACCCATGAACTGAAGTTGGAGACTGTGGTCTATGCGCTGAAGACTTGGTGACACTACCTTTATGGAGAAAAGTTTGAAATCTTTACCAACCACAAAAGCTTGAAGTATTTATTTACACAAAGGGATTTGAAAATGAGGCAAAGACGTTAGAAGGAATATCTCGATGACTACCAATTCACTTTGTCTTATCATCCCGAGAAGGCTAACGTTGTAGT